CTGATAAGCCCAAAACAACTTGTTGAGTTTTAGCTTGTCCAGCTTTTGCTTGCTATAAGAATGGGAGTGACAATTTCTAAGCTCTTTACATGTCTGAGCTGTAACTGGGAATCATAATGATTTTTGAAGCTAAGATTACCATAACTTTTTATAACACCTCAGAAAGGTAGTTATTATTCTCTTTATTTTACACATAAACCAGTGGGGCTTTAGTGAAATTGTGTGTCCAAGACCATTTGTCTGTAAGTCTAAATGGTTCTAAATCCTATGCACCTTAGTTTCTTTAAAAATAGCTGAAAATACTATCAATATTTTTATGTGTACAGATGTTTATACATTGAAATATTTCTTGCTTTCAAGTTTGTGCCTACATTTTGAGACCCTCAGAGGCGGCGGGGGGTGGTGAGGTTGAGTAATAGTACAGTGCAAGTTATTATCATTAGTTCAGGCAATTAATTTATCAGTGTATTCCTTTTTCCTCCACTCTGCTCTCCCATTCCCCTTTCCTAGCCTCCACCAGGGACAATCATTGGAAAATCTTCAATAAGTATCTTATTTTATTTCACTTCATTTTAAAGATTTTATTTTTAGAGCAGTTTTAGGTTCATAGCAAAACTGAGAGGAAGGTACAGAGAATTTCCATCTATCCCCCACATTCCCACACATGCATACATAGCGTCCCAAATTATCAACATCCCCCACCACAGTGGTACATTTGTTACAACTGATGAACCTACTGGTTAATGTTTATTTTTTACCAAAATAGGCTCTTGCAAAATGTGTCTTGTATTATGTGCATGTGTCTTTAATGTGCATAACTGACATTTTCTTTTCTTTCATTCTTTTTCTTTCTTTCTTTCTTTTTTTTTTTTTTTTGTAAGACAGGGTCTCGCTTTGTCACCCAGGCTGGAGTGTAGTGGTGCAAACATGACTCACTGCAGCCTCGACCTCTTTTCTTATTATATATTTCATTCAGGTTATTTATATTTTATTCCTAGCACTGTGCTTTTAAAATACATCTATACTGCTCTGTGTATACGTCGTTGGTTCAAACTACTGCATAGTACTTCAGTTTTATTATTTCTACAGAAATATTACATATTCATTGTAGAACCACTAAGTGCCAAAAAGTGAAAACTAGAAAATAATGATCACTAGAAATTGTATCATGAGAGAACCATAGTTGTGATTTTGGTGAACCTCCTGTAAGATACCTCTTTGCACATACATATAAATGCATTATGCATATTCAATTTTACTTACATAGGATTGCCGTGCACATGTTATTTTTTGACCGGCCCCTCTCATTCATCACTATTTCGTGGATAACACCTCATGCAACAAATATAGATCCACAACATGCCTTTTAAAGATCGCTCAGTACTCTGTTGTATGGTTGTACCACACTTAAATAATTCCATTTATGGGCATTTTGCTTACATTTATTTTTATTTATTATTATAAACAGTGCCTGCCTCAGCAAATAGTCTTCTGCAGATATATTTTCTTACTTGTGCAATTATCTCTTCAAAGTAAATACTTTTTCCCCACCACATGGGTTGAGCTGGGTTTCATGCCACCCACAAAATTCATGCTTTTTCTACTGCTTTATGTTGCCCAAAGACTCAAGGACTAAAGTGGCTTCAGCTATTAAACTCTGTGAGTTTATATGTTTATGAACATTGGCAGTGGGGGAAGAAGTCACAAAACAAAGAGGCCCTCTTTTCAGTTCTGCTCCAGTAAGCAGGACCTTTTCCACTTTGTGGCAGAATAAATGCAAATAAATCAGCTGTCAGAAATTAGTAGTTTATACAATTTAATTAAAATTAGAGTTCAACACTAACTTTGATGGAATCAGATTCTCTTCTAAGTATTGTTGATCTTGACACTAAATGTGCCCAAATTATTTAGAGGAACATTATTCTCCCAGTATTTACAACTCAGAAAGATGTATGCCAAGAATGCTCTTTGGTGTATCTGTTTTCCCAAGATATTTTGGGCCAAGATTTGAAAACTCAAGAAATCTAGATACATATGTTTGGGGACATGTTCTTAAATAAACCAAATGTTTCCTGGTTTCAACTTTTCACATGCTTAGTTTTTCTATACAGTTTATGGAAATCTAATTGAGAGTTCTGATAAATCACTGTTTTTTTATGGGAGGGGTGGGAAACAAAGCTTTTGTTTAATGCCTTAGCAAAGAACCTTCTGACTGTTTAAACAAAAACTGCCTTACTTATATGTTGCCCAAAGACTCAAGGGCTAAAGTAGTCTCTACTATTAAATTCTGTGAGTTTATTACAGACTAGTTTGTTTTTTTTTTTTTTTTTTTTTGGTCATGGTGGGGGTGAGCATGAGATGTTAAAATAAAAACACCTCCTTACCTGTAACTAAGATGCAAGTGAAAAAAGCATTTTGCTATGGCAATTTGTTACAGGCTTTTATTAGCCAATTTGGCTTCCAATATTACATGGAAATAATTAAGCTTCAATTTTTTAAAAGAGTCAATTAAATGTTTTAGTGTTATTACTATTCTAGAATAAACTAATTAACAGTTGGAACACTACTGATTTTGCTATTTACAATAGTTTATTTTTCTCCTGGGTCCACGGGATGAAGTTATGTTTATGATTATGGGACTCAAACTGGACCAGCATCACTTTTCCTCCTCTCCTCCTTCCCTCTTCTTAGGCGACTGCTCCACTTCCCCACTATGATCAGGCCTGCTTGGGGAGGTCTTCTGCTCCCATCATAGACTGAGCTTCTGCTCAGCTCAGAGATAACTTGAGAGGAAGGAGATTTGCCCTTCCAGTGGGAAGCTTCTTCAGTCAAAGTTGCATAGTCTGCATAATGATCACTCTCCTTTTTGATCACAAACATTAGCCTTGCTCTTTCAGTTTGGTAGTTTTCCTCAGTCAAGGGCCTTATACCACCTTCCTCTGGGACTGGGTTGCCATTTTTATCGGTGTGTCAGAACCCCATCACACCGTAACCCAAGTATGGCAGGATACATGTTCTCTGCTCTTCCTGTACCAGGGCCAGTTTCCTACATTCCTGCTGGAGAGGTCCTCACCATGATATTCCTGGAACAGGCCGATAGTTCTCAAATCCTCTTCATGACTAGGGGGCTAAAATTCTCTAGGACCTTGGGCAAGTTACTTAGCCTCTGTGTGCCTCAGTTTCTTAGTTTGTATAATGGAGATAATGAAAGCAACCACCTCAAGGGGTTGCTGTGAGGATTAAATAAGTTCATATTTGTGAAGCACTTAGAGCAGTGCCTTGGTGGTAGGAAGGGCCATACGAAGGGTTAGAATAAGAAATACCACCAAAATTCTGAGATCTCAGAATTATCGAAGCTGGAATTCTGTTCTATGGTCCCATCCCACTGTGACCTTGATTGCTTAAGCATAATTAATACATTTTATTCTAAAATATCCCTATTTTGGAACACTAATTTGATCAATATAAGGGTCTTTTAAATGGATATATAAAAGGGACTGTATATTAAAGTAGGAATATGTAAATACAATATATTCTGCACTTTTTAAAATTTTGCCATTGGATTGTCAAGATAAATTTATTTAAAAGTTATTGGTCAGTGTGTTTCTAAGAGTCTTGAAGATCTCATGGGCTAGAATATAGTTTCATTCATGCACACATATACCCACAAACATATAATTGTTCCTATCTCTTAGAGAACATTTTCTCTAGCTCCCCATGTACTATTTTGTATTTTCCTGTGTTTTCCAATCATTAGTTCAACAAATAATCTGATGTGAAAAACATGCTGTGCCAATAAAATATCCTCAAATCCCCAACAAACCATTATGATAGTCTTATGTTATTTCAAACAGAGAAGCAGGGGCTGCAAATAAACAGCCTTGCTTACATCACGACTATAAACAAATCAACTGGGATGGCAAACTGACACACATGAATTAAAGGGTCTCTCTCCCTTCCTTCACTGCTAGCACTACACCTGTACAAGTGTGATGTCTTAGTCTTCTCTAGCTGTTACAACAAATCACCACAATCTTAGGGGCTTAAAAACAACACAAATTTATTATATTCCAGTTCTGGAGGCCATAGGGCTGTGTTTCTTTTTGGAGGCTTTTGAGGAGAATCTGTTTCCTTGCCTTTTCTAACTTCTAGAAGCCTCCTTCATTCCTTGCCCCATGACTTCCTTCCTCTGTCATCAAAGCCAGCAGCACAGCATCTTCAAATCTCTCTCTCTCTCTCTCTCTCTCTCTCTCTGACTCTTTCTTTCTGCCTCCTTCTTTCCTTTGTAAGGACCCTTGTGATTACATTGGCCCAAGCAGATAATCCAGGATAATGTTTCCAGTTCAAGATGCTTAACTTTATCACACTTGCAAAGTCCCTTTTGTAATGTAACATGTTCACAGCTCCAGGGGATTAAGACATGGACATTCTTGGAGGGGTGCATTATTGTGCCTACCACAGATATGCTCCTGAATAAGACCTTGAATACCATATAGCCTTTTGGCTCTCCCTACCTGACTTTTGTATGAGTTTGCAGATAGGAACTGTGATAAATTCCTACCAGTTATTATGATACCTTTCTTTCCCTCTCCTCACAAGTCTTTCCAAGTCAGATAGCTGTTAGTGTTTACTTAAATGATGAATATACTCTGGAGTGTTGTGGGAAAGTATTTAATGAGAAAGACACCCCCATTCTTTGTGTCTGTCCTTGACAGCTGAAGAAAAGTAAAACTTGACCCTCAAAGCATATCGGTAAAGAATTACATGATGCCAAACTATGACATGGGTCTTTGAAGCCATTGGAGAAAATGGATAGGATTTGGTCCTTATGATTTTCCCTGGGGGAAATGTGAGAGTCTGAATTAGCAAATTTGAAGGGAGCCAGACAGAGATCTTGATGACAAGGCCAGTGGCTTCCCAGGTTCTGCGTTTCCAGCCCTGAGCACAGTGTTTGGCATGTCGGAGACAATTACTAAATGATTAGTGGGTAAATGACTTACCAAAAGTATCCAAGGAACAGCTTAAGCCCTGGGAAAGATCTGGCCTTTGAAATGTGACCTGCAAAACAAAATAATGGGTTTAATATCCTCAGGAAAGAGGCACCATCACATTCAGTTTTGTTTCTAACTGCTGACTCACACAGCCATTCCTCATTGATTACTGCTCCGTTGATGTAAAAGAAAACAAACCACTGGTATCACTCTCCTCTGTCCTTATATGAAAGAAGAAATAGCAGAACTGCTTCTATGTTTATTTTGCTCACACATTCCTATTGTTTAAATCACAATTTTCAAATTCATTTCTAGCTTAGTGGATTGATTTTTTATTACTCGTGCTGAGCAGTTGACAGTAATGATTTATTACATCTCTGGGATTTTGGCAGCTCCTTACCACTCATGGTTTAATTCACAGGTTTCCCTGATGGCTTTAGTGTCTGTGGTGTTTGCTCCTGTAAAGTGTTGCACCACTGGGAGATGTGTACCCCTGGCCCTGCACTGTGGCCTCAGTTTTCTTTTCTCCTTGCTCTGTGACTGTGTTGAGTGGAAGGAGAGAGCGCATTCATGAACAGGGGAAACCTGATGTTTTCTCCTGTCCTAAGAACTGCAGCTATTGTAGCTTTGTGCTACGTGCTGGAGGCTGGTCCGCTTGAAAGGAGGCCAAGGGTGGAGCCGAGAGATAAGGGTAAATGCACATATCTTAGGGAGATGGGCTACTTTTTAGGCTTCATAACAATGACAACAAACATAACAACCCTCTGTGCTAACCATGTAGCATGTATTAGTACAGGCATTGGTGAATTATACCCTGTGGGCCAAATTTGGGCTACTACCTGTTTGTGTAAATAAAGTTTTATTGGAACACAGTCACATCCATTCATTTACCTAATGTCTATGGCTGCCTTTGTGCTGCAATGGCAGAGCTGAGTAGTCGCAGAGAGATCATATGACCTATAAAGCCAAAATTATAAGCTCTTTTCAGAAAATATTTTCTGACCCTTAATCTTCATAATATGAAATAGGCTTTGGTAATATCAATGCCAGTTTACAGAGGAGGAAATAGACACACTGAGATGATAAATAACATGGCCAAAGTCTTACAGCTAGTATGAGGTGCAGAGACTGAGTCAGAAGCCAGCAGGTCTATAACATACTGCCTCGGAGACTTACTCAGAGAAAGCAGTAATTACCAAACCTGCCACATTACCGTGTCTGTCCTATTTCTTTAAATCCTCACAGGGTTTGGCTTTATGAAATCTTTCCAGATAATTGTCCATTGTCTAATGGCTTTGTGGGACTTTTAGGTTTTTTAATTAAAAATGTGTGGGATTTTTAACTTTTTAAAACTCAGAACTGCCTATTAACTGTTTGAACCCTTTGTGTAGACTAGCGGTTCTCATCCTCAGCTACACAGTGGCGTCACTTGAGGAACTCTAAAGGTATTGCCACTGGGTCCCATTGCTTCCAAGTCATGATTTCATTGGTTTGGGATACAGTCTGGGTATGATGCTTTTTCAAAAGCATCAAGAGATTCTGTTGTGCAGCCAGAATTGAGAACTACTAGAATAGACAATTGTAAGTCTCACCCTAAAAGATATGAGAAGTCTTTCCTAGTGAGTCAACAATCAATACAAAATGAAGGAAGAGGCCAGGTGCGGTGGTTCACGCCTGTAATCCCAGCACTTTGGGAGGCCAAGGCAGGCAGATCACTTGAGGCCAGGAGTTCGAGACCAGCCTGGCCAACATGGAGAAATCCCATCACTATTAAAATACAAAAATTAGTTGGACATGGTGGCACATGCCTGTAGTCCCAGTTACTCCGGAGGTTGAGGCAGGAGAATCACTTGAGCCTGGGAGGCAGAGGCAGAGGTTGCAGTGAGCTAACACTGCACCTCTGCACTTCAGCCTGGGCGCAACAGGGTAAGACTCCATCTGAAAAAAAAAAAAAAGAAAAAGGAAAAGAAAAAAAAGGAAGAAAAAAGGGACAAACAAGTCTTTAGAAACAAGGGCCCACTGTAAACATGTTACAAGTTGGTGAGCCCGATGCAAGAAATATTCCACAGTACTAAGAATAAAAAGAAATAAACTGAATAAAATATATAGTAAGAAAAGATGTTAAGGCTGCAGTGAGCCATGTTTGCACCACTGCACTCCAGCTTAGGTGACAAAGCGAGACTCTGTCTCAAAAAAAAAAAAAAAAAAAAACCACCCAAGAAAATAGCAATTATGCAAATTAAAAACACATGCACATAATACAAGACACATTTTGTGATGATAAAGAAAATTGTGTTACTTCCTAGACTTAATCTTCTTATTTGGGCATAATTATACTGACTTTTTTTGCTTAGGGTGAGAGGGGACACTCAATTGGAAAGAAAGAGTGGAAAAATTGAACATCCTCCTTTAAAAGGCTACATATGGCTTATGCATTCATTTAAAAACTGCAGTCTATTTCTTCTGCAAAACGTATACTTTGAATTTCTCTCTGTTTTAACCTTTACTGAAGGGCAAATTCAATCAGGGCTGATTTAGATTCAAAGAGTTTGTGAACTGACGCCTGCCTCAAGGAATGACATCATAATTACCAGCAAATATTGAGTAAGCCCTCACAGGGGACTCTGTGGCACTGTGCTGGTTCTTCATCTCTCAGAAAGTGCACCTTCATTGCAGTGCCTGGAAAAACATCATCACAGCTGAAATTCCAAATAAATATCTCACTCCTCAGATTCTTTCCACTGTTTCTATTTGCACTGATGATGGAGCCAATGTTGTTAAAACAGCGTGAGACTGAACATTTACCCATGAGCCGAGTTCCACAAGCTGTCTGTACCGGCTGGTACATCATTCCAGTAAGAAGAGTGAAATTATTAAACATCACAGAGAGGTTTACAAGATTTTTCGGAACTATCAAAGGTCACATGTGTTTTCTTGGAGACTTCAAGAGAGAAGTGGGGTATGTACATAAAATATCTGAGACACTGAGCAGGTTTATGTCTGTGCAAAAGGGGCTCCCTGTTTTCCTTTCTTAGGCATGACTGTCAAAGGAGCACAAGCATTTCTCTGTGCTCTGGCTCGGGGAAAGGAAATGTATGTTTAAGACTTGGAACATGGGAGATTTATGGGATGTTAATGTGTCAAGTCTTAGTAACCTCTCAAGAAGGCCACTTGTGAAGTCAGACTGTCATCAGTCACAGAAACCAATGCATCTGTCTTCTGAGAAATTCCTCAGAAATGTCTTCCAGAAAGATTATGAAAGATGAAAAATCTCAATACAGTAAAAAGGTATTCTATAAATGTGAATTTTTGCTGCTTCTGGCAAGTTCTGAGTATTCCCTCAACTGAGAAATGACAAAATGATACATGCATAGAATCCACTGAAGAAAATACCGAAACTGATTAAAGGCAGCTATACAAGGATCAATTATTGCAAATTTATGAAACTTATCCCTCAAAATATGGCTATACAAAGTGCATTTAAAACACACTCACACAACACCATGATACAGACTTGCCCTGAGCTAAAATTAGATAATGCTTCCTAAAGTCAACCCAGAAAAGCAACCTGACTCTAGTATAATATGAAAGTGCTTTAATGATGACATCACGGGCAAGTTCATACAATGTGAATGGAAAAGGATGTAACAAAATGTTCAGTCTAATGGTAAATGGGCATCTGGGACATTGGCATGTTTTGCATGTCAGGCATAATCAATATTTAAGGTTTTCTTCTTACATGGACATAGTAAATGAAATAGATATCTCAGCTCATATAGGCTGCTTTCACTGAATCCGACGACCTGTGACCAACAGTTTTTTAAGTAACAGAATAAAAACCCAGAGAAAGTAGAGAGCACATTTTCTGCTGCTGACCATCTGTTGCTTGATTAGATTCCTTTAACATCAGCAGAAAGTTGTGATTTTGACAGTCACTGACATTTCCCATTAAGCCTAATGTGTATAATAGGCCTGAACAATATATATTTGCATGGCATATCAGAAAAATAGGCACAAAGAACAATGGGACAGAATAGACAACCCAGAAATAAACCCAAATACCTACAGCCAACTGATCTTCCACAAAGCAAACAAAAACATAATGTGGGTAAAGGACACTCTAGTCAACAAATGGTGCTGGGATAATTGGCAAGACACATGTAGAAGAATGAAACTGGATCCTCATCTCTCACCTTATACAAAAATCAACTCAAGATGGATCAAAGACTTACATCTAAGACCTGAAACCATTAAGATTCTAGAAGAGAACACTGGAAAACCCCTTCTAGACACTGGCTTAGGCAAAGACTTCATGACCAAGAACCCAAAAGCAAACGCAACAAAAACAAAGATAAACAGATGGGACTTAATTAAAGTAAAAAGCTGCACAGCAAAAGAAACAATCAGCAGGGTGGGCGCAGTGGCTCACACCTGTAATCCCAGCACTTTGGGAGGCAAAGGCAGGCAGATCACCTCAAGTCAGGAGTTTGAGACCAGCCTGGCCAACATGGCAAAAAACCCTCTCTACTAAAAATACAAAAATTAGCCAGGCACGATGGTGAGCACCTGTAATCCCAGCTACTCAGGAAGCTGAGGCAGGAGAATTGCTTGAACCAGGGAGGTAGAGGTTGCAGTGAGCCAAGATTGCACCATTGCAATCCAGCCTGGGTCACAGAGCAATACTGTGTCTCAAACAAACAAAAAATCAACAGAGTAAACAACCCATAGAGTGGGAGAAAATCTTCTCAATCTATATATCCAACAAAGGACTAGTATCTAGACTCTACAAGGAACTCAAACAAAGCAGCAAGAAAAAAACAATCCCATCAAAATGTGGGCTAAGAACATGAATAGACAATTCTCAAAACAACATATACAAATAGCCAACAAACATATGAAAAAAAAAAGTTCAACATCACTAAGGATCAGGGAAATGCAAATCAAAACCACAATATGATACCACCTTACTCCTACAAGAATGGCCATGATCAAAAAATCAAAAAGTGATAGATGTTGGCAGGGATATGGTGTAAAGGGAACACTTTTACACCGGTGGTGGGAATGTAA